CTTCGCAGTCCATCTCCAAGCTCGCCTCTGCTTTACTGGGCGAGGGGCCTGGGCTGCCCGGGCACGCTCCTGCGGACCCCGGACCAGCTCAGTGCCTGGCGCTGTGGTTAACACCAGGCCGGGAAAGGAAGAATGTGCGTGTTTCCCCAACATTCTTTTTTTAAGAGAGAGCGAAAGGGAGAGTGAGACAGCCATCGGCTGCCTCCTGCACGCCCCCTGCCGGGGATGGAGCCCACAACCCGGGCATGTGCCCTGACCCAGAATAGAACCAGCAAGCGTTCACAGGATGATGCCCAACCCACTGGGAACACCGGCCAGGGCTGTTCCGCAGCATTCTTTACGCTAACTTCCATGCAGCTCTAACAAGTTGTTTTTGTAATTCAGCCACCAACAATAGTGTCAAAATCAGACCACGGATAAATGTTGGGTTACTATTCCATTCAGTACTCGCTGAATGTCATAGTAACCAAACATTTATTTTCTCAATGTTTTGTGCCATTTACAATGTAAAGGCTCCAGACAAGGTACACATTAACAGTCAACAAATCAAACCCCGATTCGTAGCACTTGCCGTTTTCCATGGCGTAAAAACTCCCATCATTGCCAATTTCAAACTACTGTGGGTCAGTGGTTAGAGCATCGTCCTGTCACCAAAAAGGTCTTGGGCTCAGTTCCCAGTCAGGGCACATACCTGGGTTGCAGATCCAATGCAGGGCCCCTGGGGAGTGTGTGCAGAAGACAACCAATCCATGTTTCTCTCTCTCTCTCTCTCTCTCTCTCTCTCTCTCTCCCCCCCCCTTCCCTCCCTCCCTCCCACTCTCTCTGAAATCAATGAAAAAAAAATCCCCTGGTGATGATTTAAAAAAACAAGAACAAAGCAGAAATCACACTGGGCTTCCGTTAGATGTCTCGCCCGGCAGTTTCTCCCATCTCAGCTGAATCCTAAGCGGTGGAGCTGAGGAGGCAGAGCTCAATATACGGAGATATTAGGGTTGATTATTCACGTAACCTAAGGATGTTATTCTTCAAATAATCTGTAAAGGGTTCTTGGAAACACAAGGTTCTAATGCATTTAAATTGCCAGCTTTAGAATGATATCCTCTATGACACTGAGCGAAAACAGCTTGCAGACCGGTGTTACCAAATAATCTTATTTTTGTTTAAAGGAAAAAGCATACAGATCTCTATTGGGGGGGGGGGCGATATTTGAAAGGAATAGAAAAACAGCAGGAAGAATAGATGACAAACACAGTTAACTTCTGAGCAATGTGTCCAGGAGAAGGCAGATAAGGGCTCTCAAATTTTTCACTTTATACATTTCTGTAATCTGCATTTTTAAACAAGCTCATATTTCTTTTATAATTAAAGGTAAACACATAAGCCACTCCTCGTCCTCTTCATCCTCGTAAGTCCCCCGCAAAGTGTGCAAAGGGCTGAGAAGGAGAGAACCTCTTTCTGGAGGAATGGGCCTTCTGATTAATTTCCACTTCCTCTGAGAGACAGGCACCCGTGGCCTCTCCCCCCACCACTCCCCGGGGGAACCCCAGTCTCCAGTCTCCAGTCCTCAGTGCCACAGGGGACAGACCTCTGGCGGGACTTCCCTCATCCGTGCCCCTGCCTTAGCAGGCCCTCTCTGCCCTCCTGTAGCCCGCCCTGCTCCCTAACCCCTGCAGCTGGGGGAGGAAAGAGGGTGGGCTGGGAGGGAGGGAGGTGGGGTGGGGTGGGGTGAGGAGGCGGTGAGGAGCTCCTGCCTAGGGCAGACCTGGGTTCAAAGCCCAGCCTCTTTCACCAGCTTTGTGACCCTGAGCAAGTCGCAGAGCCTCTCCAAGCCCCGGTCCCTCCTTCTGAAAGTGGGGGTCACAGTGCCAACCCCGCGTAGTTGTGAGGTTTAAATGGCTCACATAAGTGCTCGATAAATAGTAACAACTGCTTCCCAGCCCTTTCTGTGCTTTGTGCCTTGCGTGTGACCTCATTTTCAAGCAGTTGCTTCCCAGGGCAAAAGAACATCATTCTAGCGGCTCTTGTGGAATGCCAGGCACTTTAGACTCCGACGGAAAAGGCCCAGGGCTGAGCTATTGCATTACAGGGAAGGAGTATATGTGGTTGGAAGATTGACCTCCTCCGGGACGGAGTGAGTTCTGTGTACTGGCCACCAGATGTCAGCACCGAGCCACGCCAGAAACCGAGGCGCCGGTGAACTACCTGGCTTGGTAGGCGCTCACTTTAGCTCTCAGCTGCCTTCAGAGGAAGGTACCCCACCCCCTTTTATATATGAGGGAGCCGGGCCACAGGTGGAAGGACTTGGCCGGAGATAAAACTGCTAGGAAGTGGCAGAGCCCAAACGTGATCATGAGCAGTCTAACTGCAGTCTCTGCTCTCACCATAAATAAGACACAGACAGACATTTGCGGTTTTCTGAATCCCTTTGGCTGCATTAAGAGGGGACCATAAGCATTTAGGGCAACAGCAGTTGTCACTCACTTTCCCTGACATTGCGCTACAAGGATGCCGATTCCCAGATCCATCTCCATGAGCTGTTGTATGTGTTTTGTAAGCTCATGAAGTCAGAACTTTTGACGTTTCTCATCCTTAGACAATGGCACCCGGCACAGTGCTTGACACATAGTAGGTGTACAATAAAGATGCCGATGAGTAAATGAAGCGCACGCATTGAGCACGTGGACTCTGGCGCCAGATTGCCGGGTTCAAATTCCAATTCTACAGGAGCTATGTGACCTGGGACAAGTTACTGAACACCCAGGTGCTTCGTCTGTAAATTGGGGATAATAATGATAGTACCTCCGTCAGAGGGTGTTGTACTAAATGAGTGAATAGAACAGTGCCTGGCATACACTCTGATAGCGACTACATTCCTTTTAAAAAATATTTTTAATTGATCTTTTTAGAGGGAGAGAAAAATCGATGTGATGACAAGACATCGATCAACTGCCTCCTGCACACCCCTGACGGGATGAACCCACAACCTGGGCGTGTGTCCTGACTGGGAATCAAACCAGCAACCTTTCGATGCACAGGATGACACTCACCCAACTGTGCCACACGGGCCAGGATGCCACTATAGTCTTATACATGCTGTTTATACTGTATGAGATCCTAAGTAGGGCCCAGGTTCCCAACATCCCCATGTAGCAAATTGCCCTTTTCAAGGGAAGCAGATGTGGCAGATTTAAAAAACAAACCAACCCAAAAATAAATAAATAAATAACAAACCAACCCAAAACAGTGTCTCCTGACCCACTTGCTCCTCTACCTAGAACCTTGCCACTCCGCCATGGAGAGAAAGTCTAACCCTCCTCCCCTGGCATCTGGGGGCGTATCTCTCTCTCCTATTGTCATGCGGTGGAAACAATGCTGTGACACCCCTGGCTAGGTCTTAAAGGGCAATGCGTGTCCACTTTGTCCGTGGGAACACTCCCCTTGGGAGCCCTGAACCACCCAGTAAGAAGTTTGCTGAGCCTGAGGCCACCTTGCGCTGAGGTGGCCCAAGGCCACGTGCATGGCGAGGCTGATAGTCCCAGCTGAGGTCCCAGCCAACAGCCAGCAGGTACCACCAGAATGAAGACAGACACCTCCAAGTGACCCGAGCCACGGAGTCGCCCCCAGGCTTCCCAGTCCTCCTAGCTCGGCCCAGACATTGTGGGACAGAGAGGAGCCCTCACCCCACCCCCGCCCCTCACTATTCCAAATTCCTAACCCAGCCCTAGCTGGTTTGGCTCAGTGGATGGAGTGTCTGCCTGCCGACTGAAGGGTCCCGGGTTCAATTCCGGTCAAGGGGATGTACCTCGGTTGCAGGCTCCTCCCCAGTCTAGGCCCTGGTTTCTCACATCGATGTTTCTGTCTTTCCCTCTCCCGCTCTCTCTAAAAAAATCAATGGAAAAATATCCTCGGGTGAGGATTAACAAACTAACAAATTCCTAACCCAGAGAATTAGAATAGTACAGTGGTGGCTATATTATGCCACTGAGTTTGGTTATATGCTGTTCAGTAGTAACTGGAACAGCAAATAGGATGACTAGATTGTAAACATGTTATATACTGAACATAGTACACTCATGTGCCACTTAGTTATGGGGATACATTCTGAGAAATGTGTTGTCAGGAAGATTTCATTGTGCGAACATCGTAGAGGCACTCACACAAACCCTGATAGTACAGCCCCCACACACCTGGGCTGTGTGGTGCACCACTGACGTATATGCCGTCTGTCATCCACCTAGATGTTGCCGTTATGCAGTATGTGACTGTATACATCCTGAGGGTCTCTATCCCTCCTAAAAAGATGGCTCCACATCTGCCTCTAAGCATGTGTAAGACCTGCCTGGCTGAGCTCACGCTGCAATGCCTGGTCAGGGCATATACCCAGGTTGCGGGCTCGCTCCCGTGTTAGGCATGTGGGAGGAAGCCAATCAATGTTTCTCTCTCTCTCTCCCTTCCTCTCTAAAATCAATTTTTAAAAATGTATTTACAACAGCTGATCATTTAATGAGAAGGACTATCTCCCAGGTCAGCTCCCTGCCCCCGCATCCTTCTGAGAGATCGGCGGTCAGATCAGACACCAGCTGTGAAAGCACAGATGCTGGTGCTCTAGTCTCAGGCCTCCCTTGGGCTCTAACGCATCCAGGGAAGCCTCCCGGAGCTTAGCTGCTGAGAAAAACCACCACGTGGGAACCAGCCATCCACAGGGTCCGCAAGTATGCTATCTTCTGACGAGATGAAGGGACAGGCCTGATTCTAGGGGCCGGCTTAGGATGCTAAAAACCCACACCAGACCCATGGGCCCACGAAGAACTGAACAGAAAAAGTCAGGCCTGGCAAAGAGCATGAACCAG